AAACACTGCTTCCATGGCTTTTATTATGATGCCAATTTACATTCATTATGTTTATTGTCTTTAGATTTATGTTTATTTTAATGCTACTTTTATGCATTGGTCAGCTAAAACAGTTACCTTTTTATATATATTTATTAAAGTTAATTCTCTATTATTACTTAAAAGAAAAAGCCTCTTCATCCCCATTCTCATCCGTAAACAAGAACTGAATTATAAAAAATATCCCTAAAACAATTATAAATGTAAATAGAAATAGAAATGAATAACAACATCTAATTCTAATTAATTAGTCAGTGCAACACAGTTAAAGATCAGTGACAAACAACTTGGTTAAAATCCACTCACCCGAACAGTATCAAAGCCTGACATTATATTCACGTCACCAAATCCATAACCTATGGTGTACGTTTGGTCACTATTGCTGTGATAAGTAGATGACTGCTTTGGGTTGAACACACTATGGCTTTCTACAACAAAAAAAAAAAGGGAAAAAAAGAGAAATTAGAAGCTTTTCTCTATATGGCAGTGAAAGTTCCTTTCCTCCATCCTTAGATCACAACAGATCTTTACTTCCCTACCAGCCCAAACTTTTTTATTCTCTCATGTTGAAGGAAAAGTCGACACCAATCTCTTAACTGTTCACACTAAAATGGCAAAGGGATAGAAGGAGTTTGAAAGAGGCATTTCTCAAAAAGGCATGCATAAGAAATATTCTTATTAGTACAGGTCAAGATGTCCTGTTTGGTGGACCCAAATCAAATCATATCTATGGACAACATGGCAACCTTCAGCATTTTAAAAATGCCTGAATTCTTGCCCAACCCCCCAGGGTATTAGGAGTGCACTTCCTATGAGAAAACAATTACGTGTACAGCTGATCCTGACTCCAATCATTTTGGACCAGCAACACGCTTAGAATTTTGAAGCATGTTATGGGTGCTCTCATAAACTGATCGTCATTATTGGCCTGGCAAATGAAATGTACATTTACCAGATGGTAAATCCAGTACTGGGCTGCAGCCACCGTCTATTTTCAATTTTGTAAAAACTAAGGGTGCAGATAAGAACACAATGAGGTGAAATGGTTCAGTTCCTACATTTACCCCCTCAAAGCACCTAAATGATGAAAAAAGGGCCCAAAATGTTTCAGCTCTGCTCCTTTCAATGATCCACCCACTGACTGGAAGGCTGAGCTATGGTCCCCAATCCAGAAAAAGTTCCTTACCGATAGACAAGATTTAAATGGTTTAAAATAAGGGGAAATACTGTATATTTAGTCTTAACAAAAAGAAATATTTTCCCTAGAAGCAGACATTCAAAACATTCAGCAAGGGAGTGGACTACTCACCACAGGCCTTTGTTGTACAATACACGGAAGGCACC